AAACAAGTAACATTTATGTATTATAGAGAATAAATACTATGATGTATTCCAGTGATATGTCTCTAAGGCTTGGTCTACAACCCCAACTTATGTTGGTATAACTATGTCGCTCAGGGGTGTGGAAAATCCACACTCCTGAGTGATGTAGTTATGTCCACATAACCTCCAGTTATGCTGTGCTGTGTTGATGGGAGGGCTTCTCCCGTTGACATAGCTTCTTCCACTGGCGTAGGTGCTTCAAATCCCCAAGAGGCGATAGCTAAGTGCTACAACGGTGCAGCTACACTGGTGTGGCTGCACTGTTGCAGCACTGTGCGTGTAGAAGACAAGCCCTAAGTAATTAGGGAGTTTGCCTTTGGAGAACTTGCAAGTTGCTGTTTTGTCATGATGAAATCTTAAAAAGTGGGAGAACTCAGTCCAAGAAGGGGTGGAGGATGACTACAGCATTTGAATCCATCCCTGATTATCATGTCTGGATTTGCAAGCTTTATAGTATAAGTTATTGAATGTTTTGGTAAAGTATGGTGAACTTTGTAGAGTGATCTGTGAAACTCCAGTAGTTCAGTATGGTTGCTAGTCCATTGAGTCTACTAGCTGACGTAAATACACCCATGTTTAGTTGTGACCTTGTCTTGGAGCCTGTTTGTGTCCTGATCCATCTTTGTCATAATCCTAAAATGGGGCTCTCAACCTAGACTGTGACTCCCTAAGGGAGCGGCAAACACTTGTCAGGGAATCATGATTATCCGCTTCCCATATTGCTAAATGGGGACCTAGCAAAATGAGGAGATGGTTGGAGAGGGAGAAGACCCAGTTTGGAAAACATTGAGAACCAGTGTCCTATACTTTGAGCTCTCAGGAACAGGGTACTTTTTTTTTTTTTTTTTTACTCATTTGGACAATGCCTAGTTGTATGGGGCCTTGATTGGGGCCTGCTGGTGCTACCACAATATAAATAGGTAAATAAATAAATCATTGGTCCAATCTCTTTGAATTAGAACTGAGCTGAAATTTGGTAACTATATTGGATTTGGACAAATTTTCAGATTCAAGAAAACATTTGTATATCTTTTAAAAAAATTTTTTGCTCAACTTTGTGTAACTAGGCTCCATTTAAGAAAGGCAGGGTCTGATTCTGTTCTCACACCAGTTTTACACTACGGTGAGTCCATGTTTTTCACTTGAGTTACTCCTGATTTATGCTGGTGTAACTGAGATCAGAATCAGGCTCATAGGTCAGACGTATTTGAAACGTGACTATGCCCAAAATAAGGCCATGAGAAACTTGGGTGAGAGAAATACAAGAAAAATGAGTAATATGGGTGATTGAAACAAAGTTCTTCCCTTTTACTCAATGTAATGTAAATCCCAAGAGTTCTCCCTTCCTTGTACAAGTTTGGCCCAGCTGAACAGTCGTCCTCCATGTCATGGGGACACTCTGAAGCTCTCTATGCAATATCAATTGCCCTGGGTAGCTCTGGGCCTTTTTTTAATACTGCAGAAGTCCTTTCTCTTCTGGCAGGATCTCTCTGCAACATTTGATACTGCTGACCAGAGAATCCTGCTCTCCGACATTAGAGACAGGCATAGCAGGGGTTAGAGGGACTGCACTGTTCCTGTCCGACCTCACTCAGGGAGTCATGGTGGGCATGTGCCTCTTCACCTCGAGAATTCTCACCTGAGGTATGCCTCAGGGATGCATCTTGTTTAACTACCATTTGCAGCTTCTGGGGAGATTGGACTGTCAGAAAGCCTTTGACAAGGTCCCTCGCCAAAGGCTCTTAAGCAAACTAAGCAGTCTTGGGCTAAGAGGGAAGGTCCTCTCATGGATTGGTAACTGGTTAAAAGGCAGGAAACAAGGGGTAGGACAGTTTTGACAGGGAAATAGCACTGGGATCAGTGTTGTTCAACATTCATAAATGATCTAGAAAAAAGGGTAAAGAGTGAGGTGGTAAAGTTTGCAGATGATACAAAATGACTCACGATAGTTAAGTCCAAAGCAGAGTGTGACGAGTTAGAAAGGTTTCAGAGTAGCAGCCGTGTTAGTCTGTATCAGCAAAAAGAACAGGAGTACTTGTGGCACCTTAGAGACTAACAAATTTATTTGAGCATAAGCTTTCGTGGGCTACAGCCCACTTCATCGGTTGCATAGAATGGAACATACAGTAAGAAGATATTTATACATACAGAGAACATGAAAAGGTGAAAGTAGCCATACCAACTGTAAGAGGCTAATTAAGAGGAGCTATTATCAGCAGGAGAGAAAAATTTTGAAGTGATAATCAAGACGGCCCATTTCGGACAGTTGACATGAAGGTGTGAGGATATTTTAACATGGGGAAATAGATTCAATTAGTGCAATAGCCGAGCCATTCCCAGTCTCTGTTCAAACCTAAGTTAATGATATCTAGTTTGAATATTAATTCAAGTTCAGCAGCTTCTCGTTGGAGTCTGTTTTTTGAAGCTTTTCTGTTGCAAAATTGCCACCTTAACATCTTTAACTGAGTGATTAGAGAGGTTGAAGTGTTCTCCTACTGGTTTTTGAATGTTATGATTCCTGATGTCAGATTTGTGTCCATTTATTCTTTTGCGTAGACTGTCCGGTTTGGCCAATGTACATGGCAGAGGGGCATTGCTGGCATATGATGGCATATATCACATTGGTAGATATTCAGGTGAACAAGCCCCTGATGGCGTGGCTGATGTGATTAAGTCCTATGATGGTGTAACTTGAATAGATATGCGGACAGAGTTGGCATCAGGCTTTGTTGCAAGGATAGGTTCCTAGGTTAGTATTTTTGTTGTATGGTGTGTGGTTGCTGGTGAGTATTTGCTTCAGGTTGGGGGGCTGTCTGTAAGCAAGATCTGTCTCCCAAGATCTGTGAGAGTGAGGGATCATCTTTCAAGATAGACTGTATATCTTTGATGATGCACTGGAGAGGTTTTAGTTGGGGGCTGAAGGTGACGGCTAGTGGCGTTCTGTTATTTTCTTTGTTGGGCCTGTCCTGTAGTAGGTGACTTCTGGGTACTCTTCTGGGTCTTACAAAACTGGGTGATGGGGCAATAAAATGGCAGATGAAATGCATATTGGAAAACATAATCCCAACTATACATACAAAATGATGGGTCTAATTTAGCTGTTACTACTCAAGCAAGAGATATTTGAGTCATTGGGGATAGTTCTCTGAAAACATCCACTCAGTATGGCCATTCTTGTCTTATGTGTCAAGTTTGCTCAAAGCAAAGTTCTCTTGCTTTGAACTTGTCTTATCCCAGAGTTTGTTAGAATTCCAACAGGCTCCAGGTCTCTGCTTGCCTCACAGCAATTCTGTAAAGGAGAGGGGAGTCAGACAACAGAGGGGATCACAGAGCATGCGAGGTGGTTGCAGTGGGGCAAGAGCATGGAAAGTGGAGCATGAATAAGAAGGGGCTCCTTAAACAAAGCTTTAGCTTGGTTTGGATTCAGTTCTGCTTAGGAGCTGAGGGAAGGTTTGAGAGGGTTCTTATTTCTCCAAAATCAGTTCACCAGTTTACGGTGATATGGTTCTGCTCCTGCTACCGTTCGTGGGACAAATGTGCCATGGTGCAATAGCGGATAAGTTACTATTCATTTGTTCTCCAAGGCTTAGTGGACCACAGAGGTCAGTTCATGAGCACCAATGTTGGCCAGGAAAGGTTCATGATACCAGTGTGCTCAAGAGATTGGGTTGTACTTGAAGGAGGAAGAATGGACTTTATGGTGTTTCTGTGTTAAGTTATTTTGGGGAACCCCCAGATACCCACTCCTAATATGGCTTATGAAGTTGTACCCTGATATTGCCAACCCAAGAAAAAGGGAATTCAACTACAGACTCAGTAGCTGCGGTTTGGTGGTGAGTGCACCTCACTGGAAATGCCTGCGGACCCACGTGGATGTCAGTGTGGCCAGCAGGATTCATGTAATCATGGCGTGCTGTGCTTTGCACAAAATATCTGAGTCTAAAGAGGACTACTTCAGGAGTGAGTGGGCACTGGACAGAGCTGGTTTGCCAACCCAATACAGCCAGCTGGGTCCCACCCATGTGCACACTGCTCCTGGTTCCTGGTGGGCAAGGGAAATTTGTGATGCTATGTGCTTGCACATCGTGGAACAGTGGGGATCCAGAAGGTGACTTCAGACTGGACTGAAGGCACTATGTGCTGCTTGAAAAGCTCAATAGACCATTGCTACACAGTTGTGTTGCACCATACCTGCATAGGTTTCGATCCCTGGCAGCTGACATGAACGTACTAACTGAAAGCAGACAATTGTGTGAGGGCCCCTCCACAAGGCTCACACTTTGGGCTGTGGTTTTGTGGGGCAGAGGGGTATATGCAATTTCATGCCAGCATTGAGCAAAGTTTATATATATACCTCTACCTCGATATAAACACTAATTTGGATATAACATGGTAAAGCAGCGCTCCGGGGGGGGCGGGGCTGCACACTCCGGTGGATCAAAGCAAGTTCGATATAACGAGGTAAGATTTTTTGGCTCCCAAGGACAGCGTTATATCGGGGTAGAGGTGTATATATACACAGCTCTGTGTAAGGATGCTCTAGGGAGATCGTTTCAGTCATTGTTAAAGTACTTTTGAAAAACAGTTCAGTAAGGTTTTGGAAAGGGGTTTCACACATTCCTTCTTCACAGTCTTTTCTGGTCATGGTCCTGCTCCCTCTGGGCATATTCCCATTCCCTGTGGCATGACTGCATTTCAAGGAGCCGGTTCATGAGTCCCTCATCCTGCCTGAGGAGCCCAATCCTCCCTTGCCATAAGGAACTTGAACTGCTCCTTGAGCAGGTCCTCCAGGGTCCTTTCCTTCTGCCTCTGCTGTCCCTGGGGTGCTGCTCCTACCCTCCTGCAGAATAGTTTCCCTGTCAGCCACAGAATGTCCTGCCGAGACAAAGAAAAAGGAGCCATGTTTCGTTTCTTCTTTGAAGGAACCCAACCAAACCTCCATGTAACATAACTGACAAAGGCCACAATATTGATACTTTTTTTTTCAGCGTCTCAAGAATCCTTCCTTCTCAGACAACTTTTGCAGCCCACAAGGAAAGACCTGGGTAATAAGGGTAAGAGATCTGCAGTCCTGTTAAAATGTTGTAATGTTTACAGTGCATAAAGGGGCTGGCTGGGGTGGGGTTTGGTTCCTTTCAAGGGCAATGTTACCAGTTACCTGTTTGTTCTTTAAAGGCTGGCTATCATCTGGGCTACATAACAGGAAGAGAGCAGTATCGTTCCAGTCCTCTGGGGAGGAGAACTGCCCTCCGATGCCAAAGAGATGTTTCTGCTCATGGTCATGGCTCTTCCCATTACTGAGTGGAGGAGTCAGGTGAGTTACACAGGCGGACCAAGCACATTTGCCTAGCCATTAAACCTGAACAATCAGCTTAATGCCAAAAATATGCTGAGTTGTGCTTACAAGAATGGGAGGCAATCTGGGAGGAAATTGACTGCATTCTAAGCCAGCAGGCGGCATTCCCAGGGAAGAGGAACAGAGAATCACAATGAACATTCACCCAGCTCCTAAAAACCCCTCTGCATAGCCAGCTACTCCAGCGAACAGCATTGAAAGGAGCAGGGAAACAGTCTGTCTGACTGCAAGTGCATTTTCTTCCCTGAACTATTAACAATGCAAGCCTGTCACTTTCCACTGATAAGGCACATGGAGTTGTATTTGCAACCACCAGAGCAGATCCTTCACCCATCCCCGCTTCTCCTGGCTTCTGCAGTGCAGACGCCAGGGACTGGGATGGGAGAATGGACTGCTCTGACATTCCTCAGACAACTAAATTGTTCCTTCCTTCCTGGGCCTAGGCAGGCCCTCGCCCAAACCAGCAACCACCCCCTTCTGTATGACTCATGTTTCTAAGAAGGAAAGACAGAATGGGGGGGAAAGGGTGATTTGGGAGCTTTGAACAACCATTAGGGTGACCAGATGTCCCGATTTTTTTTTTTATAGGGACAGTCCTGATATTTGGGGCTTTTTTTATATATAGGCTCCTATTACTCCCCCACCCCCTGTCCCCATTTTTCACACTTGATAACAACCATAAATGTCATAAAACAGTTCTTTCCCTACCTGGCCCTTTTCCAAATCTGCTCCCTTCCTCCTGGTCCATGCAGCCCAGGGGCTATTGCTACCAAAGTGGTGGCAGAGAAATGCACAGACACAGGGGCACAGTGATTGATCATTAGTGATTTTTGTTACAGCTTCCACTACATGCATTACAATGTTTCAATGGATTTTAATACAATCACCGATTTACAGCTGTGTGTTGCTCAGGGGTCACGGAGGGGTGGTGGAGAGGGAAGGGGAGAGGGTGGGCGCCGGCTTCAGGCATGTATCATGAAGTAAGAGGGGATATTTCCAGGGAGGGGCGGGAGGCAGGCTGGGGTAAAACTTTCCAGCCTCAGATTCTGGTTCCTGTGGAGGCTCTGGGTCCTCCTCAGACTCCTTGTTGTGGGGCTTCCTCAACTGAGTCCACCGGGTAGCAGAGGTGCCTATGTACTCCCACCCCCTCATGCATGCTAGTTTCCTTACTGTGTACTCTCCTTCAGTGGTGTGCTTCAGAGGTGAGGTCCTCACACCACAGCGCACATGTAACTGCATATAGGCACACATGTACATGTAGCCAGAGATGACTGGACCGCTTCACACCTTTCAGGGCCTCCTATGCTACAGGTGGGTGTGGAGAGGAGCCCTTTCCTTCCATCATCCCTCTATCCCTCCTGATTAAAGGATCACATTTTTCAGTGCTCTAAAATCCACATGCTTTTATGGATATTCTTGAAATTTGCTATGCATCATGGGAGTGCAGGGTAGGGTTAGTGACCCAAATTAGGGGTCATTTTGAGCCAGGGTTTGTAGAGATATGTCCCCCCCCCCCTCCAAAAAGTTTCTATGTGTGTGTTTTTTGCCCACAGAGCTAGAGCTCAAACTGTTGGTGTGATGTGAGTCAAAGTGGTCTCAGTCGGTCATTTTTTACCCAAGATAGTGCCTGCCACCCACTAAATCTTTGGCAGACTCAAATTGTGAATGGTATTTAAGAACATGTTCACTTCTTTGCTTGAGTAGATGTGACATCTGGGAGGATTACAGTGTGCATGCACCAAGAAAGAAAAAAGGGTTTCTATTCAGCCATGGGTAGTTTGAGCAGATGTGCTGATGCCATTGCCCATGGTGATCTTCCCCCCGCCCCAACATTTCTAGCCCAAATCTTTGTACACCTTTGCACCATACGGATTCATAGATTCCAAGGCCAGAAGGGACCATTCTGGTCATCTAGTCTGACCTCCTGTGTATAACACAGGCCATAGAACTTCTCCAAAATAATTCCTAGAGCAGATCTTTTAGAAAAACCTCTTGATTTAAAAATTGTCAGTGAGGGAGAATCCACCATCACCCTTAGTAAATTATTCCAAGGTTACTGTTAAAAATTTACACCTTGTTTCCAGTCTCAGTTTGTCTAGCTTCAACTTCCAGCCATTGGATTGTGTTGTACCTTTCTCTGCTAGATTGAAGAATCCATTATTAAATATTTGTTCCCCATGTAGGTACTTATGGACTGTAATCAAGGTCCCCCCCTTAACTCATAGACTCATAGACTTTAAGGTCAGAAGGGACCATTCTGGTCATCTAGTCTGACCTCCTGTGTATAACACAGGCCATAGAACTTCTCCAAAATAATTCCTAGAGCCGATCTTTTAGAAACACCTCTTGATTTAAAAATTGTCAGTGAGGGAGAATCCACCATCACCCTTAGTAAATTATTCCAAGGTTACTGTTAAAAATTTACACCTTGTTTCCAGTCTCAGTTTGTCTAGCTTCAACTTCCAGCCATTGGATTGTGTTGTACCTTTCTCTGCTAGATTGAAGAATCCATTATTAAATATTTGTTCCCCATGTAGGTACTTATGGACTGTAATCAAGGTCCCCCCCTTAACCTTCTCTTAAGCTAAATAAATTGAACTCCTTGAGTCTATCACTATAAAGCATGTTTTCCAATCCTTTAATTATTCTCATGACTCTTCTCTGACCCTTCTCCAATTTATCAACATCTGTTTTGAATTGTGGACATCAGAACTGGACACAGTATTCCAACCGCTAGTTGCGCCAGTGTCAGATACAGAGCTGCTGTTTTGCAGGTGTTAAGTCTGTGTCTTCCTGATATCCTGTTCGATGGTGATTCTAGCTGAGGTGGTGGGAAATGTCACTCTGTTCCAGGATGGGTATAGTAACAGTACCTCTCAATCTTTGTGTGAATCATGACTTGCTGATTTGGATTGAATTTTTATTCTTAGGCAGGTTGTGTACTTCCGATGGATTTGACTGAAATAATCAGCACATGCTCTATACCACTGATCCTAATGCTAGCAACAGATGCTCACATGCTCACAATTTCCTGGCAGATGGGTCCCATCTACCATCTTTCACTTATCCAATTTTAGGCTCAAAGCCACAAGCGAACTAAGTGAACATGCTGGAAAAGCATAAAATAACAAACAAACAAACAAAACCACTTTCATTCTAAATTCTTTAATCCCATTCACACCAATTGAATAATAAGTGGTACCTGATGTGTTATCAAACCCAAAGTTTTGAGACTAATAAAAGAATAAATTGGATCTGTTTTGACAAGGCAAGTACACCTTAGCATATAATAATTACACTAGTCAACGCCATTGATAATGACAAGCTCAGATGCATTATTTAGGGAAAGGGAAACAGAAATGCAAACACATTACCAGCATGGCTTCTAGTGAATAACAAAACAGAGTTCTTATCCAGTCCATTTTTCTTTGGCAAGAGAACATGGGACAAACAGATAGTGTTTGAGTCTAAGTTAGGTTTATTATTAGTAGTATTATCGTAGCACCTAGTAAGTCTAATCAGGGACCAGATGTGCTAAGTACTGAATAAAGATAGAACAAAAAGTGGTCACTGCCCCCAAAAGCTTATGAGCTAAGTATAAAACAAGAGATAGCAGACAGATACAGATGGGGGGAAATACAAGGACACAATGAGGCAATACTGGGCAACAGGATAGGCAGTGGTCTTAGCACATCAGCAGCCTAACCACTGTGAAGGTGACAAGTTCGGCCAAAAGCCCATCCTGGTTTAGTGGAAAACGTATCCTGGAAAGCAGTGTCTGAAAAGGAATCGGGGTCATGGTGGACATATGACTCGGAACATGAGGTCCCAATGCAATGCTGTAGTCAAAAAGGCTCATGCGATTCCTGGATGTATAAGCAGGGGAGTCGCTAGTAGGAATAGGGAGGTGATGTTCCCTCTGTATATGACACTGGAATACTGCATACAGTTCTGGTGTCTACATTTTTAAAAGGCTGTTGAAAAATTGGAGAGGGTGCAGAAAAGAGCCACAAAAATGATCTAAGGGCTGGAGAAAATGCTTAACAGAGAGAGAGACTTAAAGAGCTCGGTCTGTTTAGCTTATCAAAAAGATTGAGAATTGACTTGATTGCAGGGGAGAAAATACCAGGTACTAAAGAGGTCTTCAATCTAGGGGAGAAAGGCATAACAAGGACTAGTGCCTCGAAGCTGCAGTCAGACAAATTCCAATTGGAAGTAAGGACAATTTTTTACAATTTATATTTTATTGATACCCCCCAAATAAAGAGAAAACAATAAAAAAGACAACCCCTCCTCCCCCACAAAAAAAGGAAAGGAAGGGGGCAGAGAAGGGAAGGGAGAATGACAGCTTGGTTTCCATCCGTTAGGCATTAACTGAAGATTTCTACAGACTGCCTTCGAGGCGTAAATTATTAGCGTGATTCTTCCATAGAACAACCTGTGACCCGGTGTGCCTAGCAGGCCACACTGGAAATGCCAGAGCAGATACTCCCAAGACTGGTGGGTAACACTGAAGTTAAACTCCCCCAGCCAGTCACAAATTGTGCTCCTGATCCCCCACCCTGGTTATCGAGAAGCTGAAAAAGGAAATCACAGAGTCCCCTTTATTGCATTCCAGTTCTCTGGCTCCCAATGAGCACCTAGGTCCAGTACAGTCAGAAGTTATTTAAAAAATTCTGCTCACTATACAAAATGTTCTTTAGAACCCCAAAGGGCCTGCCACATTGCCAGGCAATATTAGGTTGGCTCTTACCCAAAGTACCACACTGCCAGCTTTCCTTTAGTGTCTAAGACTAAAGGGTTATTATAAAGAAAAAAGAAAGAACAAGACGAGAGTTGTTAAATGATAAAGCACTCAGCTATATACAGAGACTTCAAAGTCCATATATCAGGTTCTTAGCAGTAGTGGTAAATTTGCTGGCTTTAAAGTACCTCTGGAAAACATCCACAGCTTGGAT